ACCAAAACCCAGAACTGCATCACAAACCACCATTGTTGCATATTCTGACCAAGAACTTCAAACTTCCATTCACTTGCGCGTTTCTTGGCCTTTTGCTTCCAAAAGCTTCCAAGCATCATACATAAGCCATCCCTATCCCTGTTACACGATTGTAACACCATCTTCACCCATTTCCAAGTTAAAAAACAGAGCATCACAATTAAACTTCTCCAGACCATTCCAGCCATCTTCAGCTCAAGTCATCCATTGCATTAGCTTCCTAAAGGTCCAAGGAAGCTAACCTGATCATCACCATCACTTGAAACAAGCTCAAACTCATTTCACGATTTCCAGTTTTGAGATATTTTTATTGAACTTCTATCTCATTATTTAGGCATTATTAGGCTTGTATTTATGAAGATAGAATGTAGATATCATTTCCCTGAAATTATACATGTCCATAAATTTCATTTATGTTGCTTAAGCACAGAGAATTTTGAGTTTGAACTTGCTGAAACGTTTAGGTCAGAATTTGGTACTTTCCTAAATTCATCCTTATCTTTGAATTTTAGTTTAAATTAGTTACATGGTTGGATTCGTGGTGAAAAAATACACAAGTTTCATGTTTACATTTTTGAAAATGGATGAAGAATGAACAAGTTACAGATCATTTGGCTGAAAGTTGAAGATGAAGTACAGCCAGGGCATGTTTTATGTTATGTATTTATTTTTGTGCCAATGTTAACGGATGTATAGCCACCCCAGTAGTAATGCAGCGCGCTGGTAACCAAAAGGGCGTGGGTTCAACACCCAGCGCGCTACTTTTTTTTTCTTCTATTTTTCACATTTTCATACTTTTTTGTCACAAACACACACGCCTGGGCTTCAATGCAGCGGGCCTTGGTATTTTGTTGGCTTCTAACCCCTGGCCCTGTTTCAGCACCCCCTTGATCATTTATTTCTTTTTTATTTTTTTATTTATTTATTTAGCTTATTTCACTTTCTTTTATCATCTTTATTATTATTATTATTATTAATATTATTATTATTATTAATAAAAAATCCAAAAATATTTATTTTATTATTTTTACACTCATTTATATTTTATTTTTCATTATAAAAAACTAAAAAAAAAGAATAAAAACTATTTTCTTAATAAATTAATTTCTCTTTCTTGATTAATATTTAGATAATTAGGTTTAGTTATTATATTATATTATTTTCTTATAAGTTAAAATTAATTTAGAATTTAGGTTTATTTTAATTAAATTTCCTATTATTTCTATTATTTAAAACCTTTTCATAAAAAACCCTAGAAAACCATTTTTAACTTATTTTCCTTTGTTAATCAATTTAGGTTTTAATTTTAGTTAATTTCTATTAATTATTTTCTTAATTAGGTTAAGATCAAAACCTTCCATAAAACCAAATGAAAATCATTTCTTTTTCCATTTTTGCATTCTTACGTTTTTATCTTCATTTTTGTACAATATTCAATATGGTTGTAATAGTTAATTAGATTTAATTTTCTTGCAAAAATCCCCATTTGTAAATTTGTATACCCCCTCCCCTAATGATGTAATAGCTTAGTATTTTTATTTTCCGCAATTTAATGCTTTATATACAAATGCTAGTAAATCAGGGTTTGTATGAAAAGATAAAATCAATGCTTAGAAAACTCTAATTCAAAGACAAAATAATGCATGTAAATCAATACACTTGCACACTTACACCCTTAGGGTAAATCCACTTTGTTGCCTTATGAAAATGGCCATATTATGCATGTGAAGTATCTTAGCAAAAGCAAATAAAAAAATACAAGATCATAGTCCCTCGATGACGCTATCAAAGTTTCCTTTCAAAAATGATCTTAGTCCCTAAAGAAAATGCTAAGATATCTTACGACATTGCTAATCATGACTATACGATGACCCTTGCCCGTCCCTTTTACATCCAAAGACAGAGTTTCTTACCAAATCAATGGTAAGATAACAATGTCAAAGGAAAGAGGAAATAAACATGAAAGAGTTTTGAGTAGGTAGAATGTTCCTAGTTGTTTGCTCATTTTCAAACCAAAATATCCTTGCTATTTTCAAAAACAAACACCAATACTTTCAAAACATCTTTCAAACTTGAAACATTTTCAAAAGATTAACACTTTGTATACATTCTTACGAACGAGAATCATTACAAAGTTTGCCTAAACGATGACGCCTTTTCAAAATACTTTCAAAAACTACACAAAGCATATTTTCAAATAAAAGCAAGTGATCTAGCAAGCAACTAAGAGCCCATAGATAACTACGGATGAAAAGGGTGTTAATATATTCCCTTTCAATAATCTATCCCCGAACTCAAGAAAATATCTCAAAGGTCTTTCCTATGCTTTTTAACCTTTCCTTTTGGATAAAAGAAAAGTCGGTGGCGACTCTTGCTAACCGCAACATTTGCGATCAAACGCAAAACAACCAAGTTAGTTCTCCCACCGTGTTACACTAGTAGACGATTTATCTCTGAGAGAGGGCTAAGGAAAGGGGACATTCTTCCCCTACCTTTTCATTCTACGTGTCAATGTGTTGTTAAGACTAACTATAGCTGAGGCGAGTAGAAACACCATTCATGGATTAAAGGTGACAAGGACTGCCCTCACTATCTCTCATATTTTCTTCACGGATGATAGCATTCTCTTTGCTCATGTTAACCTTTAAGTAATGGCCTCTCTACATGTTGTCTTTAGAAGATCAAAGAAGGAGGTGTCCTCTTTTGTTATTGAGAGGGTCTGGAAGAAGCTCAAGGGATGGAAGGAATTTGCCTTCAGAAGCAGGGAGAGAAGTCCTTATCAAAATAGTGGTGCAAGTGATATCTACCTACACCATGAGCTGTTACAAACTTCCCGAAGGTTGCTATGAACAAATAGCAAAAATGATAGCCATGTTTTGGTGGGGTGCACAGGAAGGGGAGATGAAAATTCACTGGTTAAGGTGGGAGAGAGTGTCAAGGGCAAAATGCAAGAGAGGAATGGGTTTTAGGGAGGTAGGAGATTTCAACAAAGCCTTTCTTGGAAAACATTGTTGGAGACTAATTAATGGAGAACACACCTTATTGGGGAAATTTTTTAAAGCCATATATTACCCAAAGAGAAAATTTATGGAAGCAACAATTGGATTTACCCCTAGTTATGCTTGGAGAAGTATCATCAGAGGCAAAGATACTGTTGAAGCTGGATGCAGGTGGCAAGCTGGGAATGGAAAAATGTATGAATTTGGAAAGACAATTGGTTACCAGGTCAATCAGGGGTAAATATTGTAAGCTCTAATGGCTAGTGGAACAAGGAGGCTTGTGTTGCTGAATTGATATATGTGGAACAAATGGGCTGGAAGAGAAATCTCATCTTCTCCTGTTTCAATGAGTATAAGCCAAACAAATTTTGAGCATTCCTCACTCTTTTAGGCTCCTTGAGGATAAACTACCATGGTTTCCTGAAAAGGATGTTTGCTACTATGTGAAGTCAACATACCGTTGTATTGGGATGGAAAGAGAAGATTGATAGTCGAGGCGTCTGGTGTTGGTAAAGACAAGCTCTAGAAAGGTATTTGGAAGGTCAGACTCCCTAATGCTGCAAAGAATTTTCTTTGGCGCCTCTCAAAAGGCATCCTACCTTTAAGATCAAATTTAAGGAGGAAAGGCTTCAGGATTGATCCAACGTGCCCTCTGTGCAACTCTGCCCCCGAGACTGATACACATATGTTCCTTGACTGCCACACTACCATGAGGGTGTGGTTTGTGACTCCCTTGGGCTTTCACATCCTAAATAACACTAATATTCACTCCTGATTGTTTAATTGGTTTCAATGCAAAGACCAAGATGGTGCACAACTTGTATGTGCCACCCTTTGGAGAATATGACAAGGAAGGAATCAACTTGTTTTCCAACAAAAAGGGTTCAACTATGTGGATATTGCGAGAATTAAGATTAACTCAGTGAAAGAGTTTCCATGTGCTAAATTGACAAGTCAGGGGAGTGGCGTGGATCATGGAGAGACTGATATAAACATGGAAATTCAAGTGGATTTCTGCGCGTTTGTGGGTGCTGGCTGCCTCCAAATGGTCATACAACATGGGGATGCATAATAAAACCAAGAAACAACAAATGACCGCATCCCCCTGTGTGGTAGAGGCCCTAAGAGTCAAATTGTGTTTAGAGATGGCGAAAAACCTGAACTGACACAACATATCAATTAAAACAGATGCAATGACAGTGACATACTCTATTCATGAACACTGTATTAGTTGACATTAATTCAATTATATTGGACTATTTGAATTTAATGGTCGAACCTTCCTTTGTAAATGTTAATTATATTAGGAGAGAGAAAATATTCAAACCCATAATCTTGTAGGGATAGCCAAGTCTTATGACTTGAAAACTTGATTTTGTAATCATTTTAGTTACCAATTGATATGTTTTTATTATTAGAATAAAAACACTTTCTCATAAAAAAACTCATAATATAATGAATTTTTCTATTTCTTTTCTTCAATTTGTATAAAAAATACGCGTACCAAATCATTAATCATTAATCATTACTATGCGGGTGTTCACACTAGTATTTTACTAGTTAATTTAATAAAAACATTGTTTGCCACATTTATTTTATACACTTTTCTAGTGAATATAAGTAAATTATTATGAACATTGATATGATTAAGATCCATTATTGATTATGAATATTCGATATCCTTTGAATAAAAACATATATAAGTGCCAAATTGAAATATAATTTTACACTTATTTTCCTTTTTCAAGTAGAAGTGCAAACAATTATTTCTTGTTTCTATATATTTTGGTTTCTCAGACCAAAAGACAGGTAATCAATCGGAAACGTTTCGTCGCACCACAGTAAAAAAAAACGTTTTTGAAAGCAAAAAAAAGCGGGATTAGGGTTTTGGAGCGTAGTTTAATACTAATTCATTCAGCCTCTTCATTTTTCATCTTCTTCGCTCTCTTCTTTCTTCTCAAAATGGCGAACCCAAAGGTCTTCTTCGACATTTGCATCGGAGGTGAGTTAGAGGGTAGAATCGTCATTGAACTCTTCAACGACGTCGTTCCCAAAACCGCCGAAAATTTCCGAGCTCTCTGCACCGGCGAAAAAGGAATCGGTCCCAACACCGGCGTTCCCCTCCATTTCAAAGGCTCATCTTTTCATCGCGTCGTCAAAGGCTTCATGATCCAAGGCGGCGACATATCCGCCGGCGACGGAACCGGCGGCGAATCAATCTACGGTACGTATTTCGACGACGAGAACTTTGACCTAAAACACGAGCGGAAAGGGATTTTATCCATGGCGAATACCGGTCCCAACACTAACGGTTCTCAGTTCTTTATTACCACTACTCGTACTCCTCATTTGGATGGAAAACATGTGGTTTTTGGGAAGGTTGTGAAAGGGATTGGTGTGGTTCGGTCTGTTGAGCTTGGTGTTACGGGAGAGAATGATCGTCCGGAGCAAGATGTTGTTATTGTTGATTGTGGTGAAATTGCGGAAGGAGAGGATGAGGGGGTTATTAACTTTTTTAAAGATGGGGATACTTTTGCTGATTGGCCGGTTGATCTCGAGACGAAACCGGAGGAGCTTGAGTGGTGGATGAGTGCTGTTGACTCTATCAAAAGTTTTGGGAATGAACATTATAAGGTGAATATTAATAAAAGACGTGTCTTTTGTTCTTTCCAGTGATAGTTTTCAGTAATTTATTCAAGTCTCCGGTGTGTATCTGTCTTTGATTTATGCCTAGAATTTTGATTTATTTTGAGGTTTGTATATGAATGATGTAATTGCTTTTGTCAATTCTTTATGTTATTTATTTCTACTTAAAAATGAAATGTCATTTTTATTGGCGATGTATCTTAGATTCATAATAAGTTTGGATTCACGATCAGGAAATAGGTTATCTGATTCATGATTTGATCCTTAAAGCTTAATGTTTTACTTTTATTTAGGAATTTAGTGGTTAGTCTTGGTCATTATTATTATCTGATGATTAACTGTGGTATGTAAATGTGTTGTGTTCTGTGAAACAGAAGCAAGATTATAAGATGGCTATCAAAAAGTATCGCAAAGCTTTGCGCTATTTGGACATGTGTTGGGAGAAGGATGGTGTAGACGAAGGTTGGTTCTCGTTAGTATGTTGCTCTTGATCTTTGCTGTTCAGTTTTTGGTTGTTGATGTGGTTACTTACTGATTTGCTTCTATAGTATCTCAACTCTTGGTTTGTTTTCCTGAATTTGCAGAGAAGAGCAATGCTTTAAGGAAGACAAAATCTCAAATCTTCACCAATAGTTCAGTAAGTATCATGTTATCGTTTTATGTGATTTTAGAGCACACTTGTCCTTTAAACTATTATGAATTGAGAGTTGAGACCCAGCATCATTGTTTGTTGTCACAGACTAACTTTGCTGCAAGCTTGACTTGTTTAGTTAGAGGCCTAAGAAAGTAAGAATGGTTTTATGTTTAAAATTCTTCACAAAATTTCACTTTTACAGAATCACTAACCAGCCTATTTTCAATGATTAATTGCTAAATTTAGCATCAGGCTAACAGCATTTAGAATGCTTAGCAGCCTTAAAAACCCCGTTTTGAGATTGAACAACAATTACTTGTTTTTTAAAATCTAAATTATGCCCAGATTGCACATGAGTGATTGGCCCTAGCTTTTGTGAATTTAGTTGGCGTTCCTGCGTTCTTGTTCTATAAATGTTTAGTGATCAAACACCTTGCGAGTGATTATTTTATCAAAGATACCTGTTTGTTATAATTTGTCACATTCTATAATGATTTTATGTTCTTCAATCAGTTCTCTTAAATTTGATTTGAATTTTCAGGCCTGTAAACTAAAACTAGGTGACCTTAATGGAGCTTTACTGGATTCAGACTTTGCAATGCATGATGGAGATAATGCGAAAGCTTTGTTTCGCAAAGGCCAGGTTGGAATCTTTCAATAAAGAAAGTAGTATAATTAATGATGATTGTGATTGATAATGGCTAGTAAAAAATGTAATCTATCTGCCTTCCCTTTCATTCTGTCAACGTGCTTTTGAATTTGAGGCAGTGCTTCCCACTTCTTATAATTCTGTTTTGTTTTATGATTATTTATATTTGTCATATCCTATGCAAGTAGGTATCATACCTGTTTTGCTTCTTCATGCTGTATGCTTATGTAAATTGTCGAATACCTTTATGCTTGTTTGGGAATTTGGAGGGAAAGTAACTGGAAGGGATTAGGGCGAACAGGGTATGGAAAATAAGGGTAAAACCCTATCCTTGTTAACATGTTACCAATGGACAAAAGGTTAAGGGGGGAGGGAAATTTAGAGTTAGTTTAATTTTAATTTTTAATAAAAAAATGTACTCCTTTTCCTTCTAAAGTACAAAATTGTAATTTGCAACTTGAAATAGGGTAAACTAATAAAATACTTTATTTTTCCTCCTTGACCATCAAATTTATGGGAACTCTGAAAGTTCATAAAAGAAGTATTTTAAAGGATGTTTTAAAAATTTAAATTCTATTCCCCCTTTTTTTTTAGAGAACTCAGACTATGCAAAAGATAATTTCCTGCACTTTGCAAGCTGAAACATTTAATGTATTAATATATAGTAATAGTAATTTGTTGTGTTTTGGTCTGCTTAATTTCAGGTGTATATGATACTCAATGACCTAGATGCCGCTCTTGAAAGCTTCAAAAAAGCATTAGAGTTGGAGCCAAATGATGGTTGGTGACTATTTAGATTGCACGTGTTTTTATTTCATTCCTTGCCTATGTTCTTTTCAGAAATTTCCTTAAGACAATTACTTTCTTATAACTCTGGGATCTTGCGGGAGGCTGTTGAATACTGAATTACCCGAGTTCTTTATGAAACTGTGAGAATATTTTTTCATATAGAAACATATGTTTGACTTACCAGGGTTATATAGTGGCCTATTCATGAAAAGACAATGCTGAAACAAACAAAATAGTGTTGTGATTATTGTGGCGAAGAAAGGGTCTTCGCGTTTTTGTTATTTTGTCTTTAATCGCCAATCCTTTTTTTATCACATGCTTTCTACAATCATTTCAACATGAAATCTTTAAGTATTATATTGATACTTCAAAGTGTAAGTGGCCTTAGTTGCTTTTCAAAACACAAATTTTCTTTGCATGTGAAACATGCGTGACTATATATTTATGTTTTACTTGATTTTTGAAGTTAACCTGGTATTTCTGGTAAATTAACACATACCTTGCTCTGTTCTTCAGGAGGGATAAAAAAAGAGTATGCAATTGTCAGGAAAAAGGTCAATAATTCACCTTTTTTTTATTCCTTTACCATTTCAAGTGTTGTTTAGTTCATTGAAGTGAAGTGAAGTAGGTTTATTCTGTTTACTGCTTTTGGTTACAGGTTGCTGATAGGCGTGATCAAGAGAAAAAAGCTTATTCTAAGATGTTCAAATAGTGATCATGCGGTTATGATGTTTGTGGCTCTATGGTCTGAAAAAAATCAGATTTTTGTGGGGAGCATGTCTGGTTACATACATAGTCAACAATTTCTGATTTTCTTTTAGTGATAGTCTAAAAATATCAGATATAGTGTATGTTTTTGAATTTATGCCTTCTAGACTGAATTTGTGATAGAGATATTCTTATTACCATTTTGTCAAACTCTTTGAGCATCAACCAGTGATTTTCTAACAGAGATAGACAGAATGAATATTCTCAACTCATTTTTCTGATGTTATCTGTGTATCCTTCAATGTTATTTGGTTCAGTACTCACAAGTTTTTTTTTACAGAAACTTGAATAATATTAGTCTTCTACAAATCAATATAATTAAAACCAACTTTGATTGATATGGATTTAACTGTTATCAATATTATTATTGTTATTTTTTTTGGAAATAAGAATTTATATATACCAAAAAAACAAAGAATTACAAGGTGATGTTATCAATATTATTAAAATTAAACAAGTCATATTTTCTCTGTAACATGATTATTGTGTTATAGATTTATGTAATATGTTAAGTCATCCACCCGTTTTCCCCATCATCTGTTGAAGACATTTTCTCATTTTGTAGAAAATGGATGACTTCTTTGTTGCTTTTATATTACTTGGTGTTCTTCTGCAGTGTTGTGACTCCCTCCCTTCAGATTTAACTAATGATTTAGCATGGGATTTGTTGGGTAAAGCACTGTTTATGTTAGTTGTTGATTCCTCTTGAACAATTGCATCTTCGATTTTTGCAACCTTTTCCTTGTGCAATTGGCCTGTTATATTTCTTCTCTTCCTACTCAATGTTCTACTAGAATAAAAGTGGTTCAATTTGGATAATGCTAATTCATGGGTAGCCTCTGCTGCAAGCTTTTGTTCCGCTGAAATAGAATCACGCCAGTTTGCCTGTGATATTCTTTCTTCAGCTCTTCTTCTCAGGGCATAGTAGTCTTTGTGATTAAGCTGGACAACAGATGTGTGATTTTCTGAATGACTGATCTGTTGAAAAGCTTCAGCTTTAGACACTTCCACAGCATCTGACTCAAGTAGCACGGCTTGAAGCGTGAGCTGCAAGGTTTGAACTGTCCGCCTCCTTAGATGCAGGGTTTGCTTCTGTTTTGCCCTTGTTTGCCTTTCTTTCTTTATGTTGAGCTTGAGCCTTTCCATTTCATTGCGTGCTTGATCCAATGCAAGATTGATTCCATGGATCATCTTTTCTGTCTTGAGATTGTCCTCCCTTTTGGATTTGATGCTCATTTGCGTAATCTCTAGCTGAGATGCCAACTCCAAGATGACAGTTTTTGGTGTTTTTGAATTTTGTTGAGCATTAGCTAGATTGGCTTTCTGCTTTTCGAGTTCATCTATGAGAGGCTCGGAGTCAAGCCAGGACTGCACGACTTTCTCTTTTGCGCTATCGAGCTCTTTCTTTGTCTCATCACGTTCTGCTTTTGCTGCTTCCAGTCTAATTCTCTTGTTCTCTTCTGCATCTCCTTTGTAGATGACTCTCTCCAAACTTTCTTGTGTTGATGGCATTTTGTTCAAAGCTCATGCATTGTGTGCATTTAAGTTGGTACTTCTATTGGGTATTGTTTCTATTGTGATACTGCTGAGTAACTTAATATAAAGCGGTGACAAATAGCTGTTGAAGTTGCATTTTAATTAGAGATTTCCAAAGGATAATGGTTTTTAAGTAAAATATTTGAGATTCCTATGAAGCAATAGTTTCCACCGCTTCTCTTTGTCTTTTATATATGTAAATACTTGGTCATGACATGTGCTATGCGACTCAGACTCGTGTGCGAGTTTGCTTGTCTTAGCTTTGTTTTTGTTGGTCGGATGAACTTTCCATAATCATGCTATATTCCTTAAAGGCATCTGATGAAAAAATGACGAATACTCGTATCAGAATTGATACAAGGATGATCGTGACTATGACTTATGAGTTTGGAAAAAAGAGAGGAAGAGAAGTATAAAAACTGAGTACTCCCCTCGAGTTTGATTAGGAGGTTGATTTTTATAATACGAAATTTCTTTAAAATGGAAGAACTACAAAAATGTAACGAATAAAAGATGTAAATAAAAAATCTAAAATTTAAGTTATACTGTTATAATACTTTTGATATTAAATATATATTAGAAAATACTTATTTGTAATGAAAATGAAAACAATAAAGGCAATAATAAATTTTAACTATTCATTATCACTATTACTTCATAATTTCTATTCAAAAAGAAGTTAAATTTACAATAAACTAAAACTTATTCTCTAATCATAAAATGGATACATTCTTTTGAACAAGAAAGACAATTGTTCTGGACTGAGCCCGCCTTGTCCCAAAGTACAAATAAAGGTCCAGATTCAGGAAGCTCCTCGAGGAGTGCTCATAATCAGACCGTCTCGAGCGTGTCCGACCATAGACCATAGCGGCAATGCCCGCTGTTACCCGCAACGAGCAGCGTCCCCGACCAAGGACACTCCAGCTCGAGTCTCGCTCGAGCATCCTCCCCGTAGGGCAGATTTTGTCCCCTCCGAACGCCATGGGATCCTTAAAAGCCTCGAAAAGACCGCGTCTTCGTCCTTCCTCATTCTTCGCAGAGCACCACCCAGGAAGGGGACCACGTGCGGGTCCCCACTACACACGTAGAACCTGGCAGTTCCTTTATTGAGCCAGTTTTGGTCGGCCCAATGAGGGGACCTTGGCCCAACGCTGGGGACTATAAATACCCTCTGTTCCAAGAGGGTCATGTATTCATTCGTTGCACACCTACATACTCTTTGCCTGCCCATTCCGTCTCTCATTTTATCATTAGAGTGTCTTGCAGGTACCCTCCCCCCCATCTCATTCAAATCCAGTTCGAGCCAACTGTGACGGTCCAAGTCTGATCCGGTAAGATCAGTGGCGCCGTCTGTGGGAATCAAAGCTTTCCCGTCTTACAAACTCTCAAAGAACAAAGCTAAAAATCATCTTCCACCGTCATGGCTGACCAAACTCGGGACGACCAGAACGTTCGCATCGTCGATGCCAACAACAACCTCGTGGACAAGAACGAAGTCCCCGACAACGCCGGCAACCCCGACCATAATACACTCCCCGGGGGCGTCATCCCCGGGCCCTCAGGCCACCGGGACGGAGCCACGACCTCATCTTCTTCAGTCCTCCCTCCGCTCGAAGAAGACAATACAGCTCCCCCAAACTATCTAGCAGCCCAATTCCAGGAGGTCCCTGTCTCCGTTGGGGCAGACGCCACGACCAGAGCACTGTTCGCGACAATCAACCAAACCAACTACCTCATCTTTTCCCAGGGGGAAAGATTAAGGGCGCTAGAGGACGACAGAAGACCCCCGAGGAGACACAGGAGGCCTCAGTCTCCGCCTCCTCGAAGAACAGAGGTACGTCTCCCATCTCCCCCGCGGAGATAATACAGAGACACCTCCCGAAGCCCGTCACCCCGACAATCGGGGAGACGACCCCCCTTGGAGAGGGAACCAATCATTGAAGCCGGAGGGCGCAACCACGACCCTTTACAGCAAGAACGAAGACATCCTGGAGATAGGCACGAAAGGACGGATCAACGAGCGCACCGCTCGAGGGACGTCCAACACGATCAGGACCGTCGTGCCCGACAATACCTCAGGTCCCCGTCCCTTTACCCAGAACAAAGTGATGAGGACGACCCCTGCGGTCCCCTATCACAAGCCATCATGGAGCCACCAATCCCCCCGGGCATGGAGAAGCCCCCTCACCCGAAGGAATACGACGGAGTCGCCGACCCGGTCGATCATATAGACGGGTTCGAAGCTATGCTGCACTACCATAACGTGGGGGGACCCATTAAATTCTGGTTGTTCCCCACAACCCTCAGGAAAGCAGCAATGGATTGGTACAAGGGTCTTGCCCCGGGGTCAATCACCTCATGGAGAAACTTGAAAAATCAATTCGTAAGCTCGTTCACCGCGTCACAGCGACATCCAAAGACCAAAGCGGTGCTCGAGGCTATCGTCCAGAGGCAGGATGAAACCTTGAGAGAATTCATCAACCGCTTCAACTGTGAAGCCATCCAGGTCCCCTCCGCGGACCACATGAAAAGATACTTGCTGGAGAGGGGACTCCCCCCTGATACAGAGTTAAGAAAAGCAGTGGGCATCGAACCACCCCGAACGTTCGATGCTCTCCTCGAGAAGGCCAAAGCCTATATGGACTACGAGGAAAGGGAAACGACCAACAAAGCCCGTGATCCCAGAACTCGTGGATCTAACAGTAACCCGCGCCAAGAAGCCGTTCCTCCTCGGAGGACCGGGGAGAAAAGAAAAGACGACAGACCCTGAGAAGTCCGAGAACAGAGAGGACCCTCGGGGCGTTTCACAGAGTACACTCTGCTCACGGCTTCTCGCGAGTGCATCTTGGCGGAGTGTGCCAGTACAGATTTCAAAGATGGCAGCGTCAAGCGCCCCCGACCAGCTCCTGCCAAGCCCGGGGTGGACAGGAGCAAATACTGTCAGTACCATAGGAGCCATGGTCATCTGACGGAGGACTGCGTCCACCTCAAGAACGCCATCGAGACCCTCATAAAAGGGGGGAGACTCGCCCAGTACCAGCGAAACGATGCTCCTCGCCGCGACTCCTGTGAGACAAGAGAACCAGAGGAGGATGCCCGATCATCTGACGAGTCGGTCCCCATCCAGACCGCCTTATCCGTCACAAGACCTGAGGACTTTTACGTCTCCGAGCACTTGTAAGAGCCGTTGTCAACGCACTGCAGGTGGGAGCACTTTGCTTCCACCATGATCATCAATGGTGGAGGATTCAACGACCTAACCATAAATTCGGCCAAGAGGAAGCTGGATGAACTGGTCGACTCTGCACCTCCTCAGACGGTGACCTTTGAAAGGGTGAAAGGTAGGTCGGATCCTATCACCTTTTACCTCGAAGAACTCCCCAGTGGGGCCCCCAACACGGTCATTCC